CCCCCCTTGCGTCCAATCCAGCTCTGAGTATGATGATGATGACGTCACCAATCATTCCATGATAGTGATTTTGTCCCCATTTTCTCTGTACTTCTACTGGTGATTCGTAGTGACCTGTACGAACGTGTTTCTTAATGTGAGTATGGTGATTTCGGTTTTTATCATTTTTTGTCAATGCGTAATACTCTCATTTCTCATGAGTCCAGATGGGGTTGGTGGTTGCTCTGATAATCGCAGGTCACAAACGAATCGGTGAGTGTAGTGTATGAAGGATCGCACAAAATTAAAGCATACCTCTTGAAAACTAACGGTTCTCATCCGCATTGAGTGAACCCATCGTCCCAACTGACGATCAAACCTGGAACCTCACAGTTTAACTGAACGCATACTCTCCGTTTGAGTAGTGGTTAGCCTTGTTCATTCACACTACACCACAAGGCACTTTTGCGAACCTGTTCGGAGCATCTCATCTCGCTAATCTTGACACTAGCTACTAAACCTATAATTAGATGCGATTGTTGTTATTATGTTTTCCGTCCGCATGAGCGTGTTAGCACCTCAATCTGGATGCACATAATATATCACGGAATTGGTTCTTGATATGCGACTTGTTGTCGTCTAAGTGACCATACAACTAGTCCGTGACCAGTGACTAGACTGGTGCACACAATAGTATCATCGCAATCTTTGATTTACTTGCGAAGAAACTTGTGAAAGAAGAGTGATTTATTTTTTTCCAACAGCCATAGATCATATACATTCCGCTTTTTTTTCAGTAATCCTACGGTACAGAACCACTGAAAAGGGATCCAAAGACACTCTGTTCTCTCTTCAAAGAAGGCACCATCTGCAGTTCCTATGAACTTGCGTTTCAATCACACTTTTCCAGAGACTGTTTGGAATATGCGTAAGACATGGTGATGTTAGGTAGTGGGTCATAAATGATCGCGGCCATGGATTGATTCCCTCCCCTCCAGGTTTAGTGTACTGTGTACTTTCCAATGCTGTAGAAATATTTGTGATGACCACCAAAGAGCATGGACAGCTGTTTCGTCCTGCTTGGGACTCGTCAGCAGTTCGTACTTTTTGTGTCCCTTTCAGGACTCGAACTATCACGACGAGAATGCACGTTGACGTGGAGTGATGGCTTGCATGCCTCCAGGACCCTGCGATCTACACAGGATTGTTTTTCATAGCCGTAGATCCAATCATGTGACAGATCTCTAGAAGCTCTCATACAGGTGCTTCCTTCACGCTCCACTGTTGGATCTACGCCCCACTACCTTAGAGTTTATAGTTTTGATTCGCAGTCTCCGGTTAGAGTTCCTCAAGAAAACCCCTCAAATTCCCGTTGCCTTGCGGGTCAGACGTTTGAGTCAAAGACTCTGGTTAGGGTTCCCACAGAAATACCCCTTTGTCGGTGTGGGCTACCTTGACATATGTCGTGCCCTAGAGTCTTTTACACCGATTAAGAAAAACCTCTCTCCGATCTATCTAGTTTTTCCTCTCAATCCTGAATGAACCTCCTAATTACTCCATCCATGGGATATCACTTAGCATTTTACCAGCAAGGCCAAACAACCAGAAGTTACAGGATTTTTGAAGCCAAAACTCCGTTTTCACTTGGCCGCGTTCGATGTCCGCACACTATCACATCGGTCAACAAGTTGCCTTGGTTAGAACCCTTGAAACTTTCAATATGGATGTATGCTGTGACTCCGAAACATGCACATAAGATTCCAATGCAGTAATCTTGATGAATTCTCCTAACCCAACCTCGACCTCACGCTTCGCCCTCTGTGTGTCAGGTGATTCGACATCCGAAGCTCGCGGTGTTGTTATTGTCGGGATGGCGCTAAGTGCCAAGGCAGAGCGCTCGCTTCTTGACGCGATTTCAGTCAGTAGCCGACTGTGCGCTGTACGTTTCAACCGTTCAGCACGGGACAACAGCTACAGAACGATGGGTCGATGCTTATTCGTCGTATCGTTGTATGTACCGACGGATTACAGTACACCTGAAAATCAAGGATGAATTCTACAAGGACGTTTCTCAGCTAATCCAAAGTGTTCGATCAACGGACATCGTAGTGGTCGCTGGAGAATTCAATGCTCAAATAGGATCCGTGGACGATAGATGGTAGACGGTCCTGCCGTCGTCCGAGTTAGTACCACCGCCTAGCCATCGGGGCCTTATGTGGTTCGCCACTCCAAGTTCTTGGTCTAGGTTGCCGGTTGCTCTCTGATCTCAACATGAATACTACAAAAAAACAGGAACAATGCTCAAGCGCACTCTCAGTCGACAATCGCACTCTAACCTTCGTGGTGTGAACCCCAATATTGATTCTGTACATCAATTCCAGTCGATTGTCCGAATAAACCATCATTACCCATTGTAAGAAAACACAAAGTATCGAACAAGCTCGTTTGCGGTGATTGTCCCACAGGCTAATACATCACAGTTTATATCAAATTGTTTAGAAGAGGAGGGGGAGGGAGCAGAGAAATCATGACAAGTTGGAAAAGAGCGAATCAACATTCCGGTGAATGGCAAACAAACTCAAATGATCAAGTTTAGGTTTTTAGCAAGACCGACAATCGCGAAATAAAAATCAGCGACTGATCTCATCGACAAATAGTGTTTGTTCGCCAGATGCCTGTAGTATTCGGAATAGGAATCGAAATCGAATAGCGCGAACTCGGTATCGGACTGAAAACCCACTGAATAGCGCAAAGTCAGGTAGAACCAAGAAGAGCTGTGGATACAGTTAGTTCTTTTCAGAAAATCATGGAAATATATATCACAAACAATAAACAATCATTAGTCGATTCTTGAATGTCCAATCGACAACGATATGGTTTATTTGTTTGCCTTCTTGCATTTAGCCAATCCGGATGGTGCCAATTGAGACCACAGGATTGGTTGTTTATTCCGTTTCTTGATTGTTTGCCGGGAGGCTGTACCGCGGTGCGTGCGTACTCGTTACACGATCACCACAATACCACCCGTGTAATCTGAAGGGGTTGCTGTAAAACTGGTCGGTCCAGTAGATTCCAGGTCTTTACCGATATGATGGTCATATCAGATGGTGTAACGACTTATCGTTTCACAGTTGGACTGTTCATATGAATGCGGATATATTTTCGACGATGTTTGAAATTGCCGGATTAAAATGAGGAAAAGAATCTTAGTTCTGTATGAAAATAAATTCCTTGACCACGTTATGCACCGGAAGTTTTGAGCTTTAGAGAATAATCGTAGTGCATTGGATGTACGGAAACCCGACAAACACGAAATGAAGTGTTCTGAACTTGGATACAGAGCAGGCTTCCGGTTAATAATATCGAACACACGACACTGCAGTAGTCAGCCACCGACGTCCTGTAAGTACTCACTTGTTTCTCAAAACTCCGAACCATGCTTTGTTTTACATGATTCACTGCATCTCTTCACGTAAGCGCCTAAACAGCTGAGGATTCTGCATGAGTAGAAGGTGGTTTTAAAGTTGAACTGCATTCTTGAGATCAAGGTAGTACGGTTGAGCTCTCTCCGATCAGCAGATCTTCTAGTGACCTTATCCAAACAAACGGCACATTCTTTCGACATTACCGCCTTTGGATGAATTCGTGTTATTATGCTCATTTTAGACCGATACCACTGCACCAACCAAGTTTTCTATTCCCAAAGGTAAACTCTTTGATTCTTAGCATATCGGTGTTACTAGATTAAGTATCAAGTACTGTGAGGTGGCGTTGCATTATTTTGTATTTGAATAGATTTTATCTATCATAATAACAAGAACATTTTCTTATTTATGGTTGAATAGTTCATTAGTGCAACAGGAATAACCTTAGCATAACGAACAGTTTCCTTCTCTGTTCCCTCTAACCAGGCTTCCATCTTTTGACAGTGCTCTTTACAGCCACAGGAAATGGTTGTGTATGGTTAGTGATTGAAAGGACAATGAACGCGGTCTTTTCAGTAGACTGTATGTCCTGTATCTGGCAAGGAAAAATCCTCGTGTTCGGTTTTTGATTTGATCCGAAATATTGTGTACTTGGTTGTTCCATATGTTTGTTCAACCGTGGAACGCTAAGAGAACGTTGCCGTGCAATGTACCTGAGCCATATAAGCAGCCAGTGATCTAGTTGGCAGAAATCGCTAATAACATAGTTCGTGGTGAAACGTCCGATTTCATCTGCTTTGCGGATTCAAAACTTCACATTCTTATTCATCCATCTCACGAGAATTCACGCGTGCTAGGGTCTAGATGTTGCCGGCATGTGTGTCCGTAAAGATCTCGTCCTCGAGAAACTTCGCTTTTCTCTGGTTAACTGATTTGATCGTGAAAGTTATCCGAGTCCAGACTTCATAGGCTTGTTATCGAAATTGAAATTCATCATTCCACATAGTAAAACATTGAGCGAGGAATAATTGAGTTGATGCATTTAGGCTTTCAATTATATTGCAACTTTCCAAATGA